AATATGTACAATTCCTAAAGCACAGCAGTGCTGAGCTAAAGCTTTGTTGGGCTTTCAGAGCTATACTCTGCTGGTCTGTTCTGTATCTGCTGATGCTTTAGCTCTGTAATTGATGCCGTGTATCTCTTCTAATTTTAATATAATGAGCTACAGTTACATGTTTAGTGTACATAGCTTGTGTTTTTGTGGCAAAGACTGTTTATGGAGCCTAAGCAACGGTCATTAAAACTGCAGAAATTGAATTAATATACTGTTAAGTTTCTGGAGGAGCCATGGACATATATTTGGGATATGCACTACCATGGGGGTGCTGGACAGCAGCAGCAGAATGAACCCGTGGTGGTGGTACTGGTGTATGGAACAGTGACTGCTGCTGAACCAAGGAATGAAGCTGGAGCTGATTTTTGGTCTTCTTGCACCTCGCTGTGGTAGCACAGCACTGCCAGTGACAAAGGCACTGGCACAGCTGGGTTTGCTGTGCCTCCCTCCTGGGGCTTACTATGGGTGAGATGGATCACAGCTCAGTTGAGGGTGACTTTTACTGTTACTTTTTCTGAACAGCAGAAATAGGCACTGTTAGTCATTTGAGCCGTTTTAGGGGTGTGTTTATGGTGTTGGTCCTTAAAAGTGTTTTTGACACACTTGATGGGAGCAGACAAAGGCAGTGGAGAACTTTGAACCAAACTTACTGACATAATCCTGTGAAAGATGCCGAGGTTTGTTGTGATGGTAGAATTTGGTACCTCAGGATACACTTCTGAAAATGGGGATTTGGAAGGGCTTAGGTATATAACCCAAACTGTAGTACTGTTTAGCATCCATTATACTCCGCTAAACAAAATCATAATGAACTCTGAAGAAATTTACAGACTAAATTTGATTTACTTTTTTGTGTGTACAGAATGGGCACCTCTAGGAATTTTGATTCTGCTCTTGCTTGATGCAGGTTCTGGTAAACGAACAAGTATTTTTGTCAGGTTGAGACTAAAATGCTGATGAATTAATTTGGTTCCATAATCTATTTTTCAGTTTCATTTGGAGAATACATATAGAAAATATTTAAGTGTCTCCTGAAGCAAGTATGAACACAGTCATAGTAATACCTACAAGCTAAGGCATATCATTTATTGGCATAACATACATGAGCTGAGGGGAATCTCTTGCCTGAAAGTGATTATTTTTTCTCTACCTCATTTCTGTGACTGAGCGTGTAGCTATTGTACTTGGATACCTCCTGTAGAGCTGTCTCAGCTAACAAGTGGAGCTGAACTTGTTTCATTTTGCTGTTGGTGCATTTATGAATCATTTGCAGGTCTCTCATTAAGTTATTGTGAAGTTTTCCAGTAATCTAGGAAGCACTTGAACCGCGCTGATAGCCATCAGTGGAAGAGCCCAGTGTTTGAAGGCAGGAAGCAGCAGCGGTCTGTTGGATCCTTAGTCACCCTGGGAAGAGGGTGTTCCTGTCCGTGCCAGGTCGGTGCCCGCTGCCAGCGTGGCGCGGGGCTGGCTGGGTGCCCGGCTGGCAGCCGGCTGCCCGAGGGCGTGTGCTGCCCAGGTGGCACCGCTGGGCAGAGCCGGGGCCTCGGGGCCCCTGCGGTGGCAGCGAGCGTGTCCTCGGTGTGACTCTAAGGAGCCTTTGAACCTCCGTTTAGGGAGAACGTGGGCAATGGTCAGACACGAAGAGACAGAGGGTCACAATTTTTTATTTTTTCTTTTCAAATGAGGTCAGAAGAATCTGCACTATGCTGTCTTTACCTTCCTTTACAGATGAGGATTCTTCTGCTTTTTAGGTATTCCTGCTCAGTTTGTTGCTCTTCATCAGTAATTCTCTGTGATTTAGAAACTTGTGCAGGGAAAAATTCTAGCCTGTGATGATTCTTGGCTGTCTCTTTTAAAATTAATTTATTTTTAAAGATTATGCTTTAGTATGGCACTCTTTAGTCCTGCAACACCAAAAGATTGAAGTAAGTCTGCTATTGTTACTGCTCTGATGTTTCTGCCAGTCCTGAGTATAAAAGCTGATCTATAGCTAAGTGGAAAGGTGGGCTCTTGGGCTGAGGTGCAGTTGCCTGCTGAGGATCTGCTGCTGTTAGTGGAGCTGAGGAGTATGTTTCGTATAGGTAAGGAAGGATTTGTGTTCTAGAAAGCTGTGCAGGTCCTGTGCTGCTGGGAGGAGTGAGAGGTGTCCATTGCATGTGTCATATCTGTGCCAGCGATAGGTTTTCTGCCAGCTCCCAATTTTAAAAGGCTTACAAAGACACCTGATCTTGCTGAGAACACCTGTAGCCCTCTGTTACTGTCCTTATGCAGAGGTTTGTCACTTGGTGCTTTTGTATATACAGGCTATTGATAGGGAATCAGATAGGTTTTAAGTTAGAAACTACAACTTGGAGGAGTCTAAGTGGATATTAATAAAAGGCACATCCTGGTTCACACTTAATTAGTAGCTTTTACTCCATGCATGGCTAGGTTCAGTGTGCTTTTTCCTGTATTTAGTAGTGGACAGAGTAAAATTCTCATGCAAAGACACCTTTTCTTTCAGAAGGGTATCTAACCCTGTCTTGATGTTGCCTTAATATGCTGATACATAGTGATCAGTTTGAGGCAAGATGTAATGAACCTGTGGCAGTTCTTTGTGGGTTGTTTTTGTTCCTCAGGATTCCCCCAGACCTCCAGCTGCCTCTCATGGCTGAATTGTTGGAGGCGATGGCTGATAGGTGATGGAGGAGGACTGGTTAGTCTTGCTTTGCTGAAGCCTGTATGTCACAAAGTCTGCTCCAACTGAAAAAAAAGGGTAGTTCACATAGTGGCACAGGTGCGTAATTAATGGTGGTCCTTTTGGGTTTGGACACTCCTGCTTGAGTGGGTTCTTTGTTTGTGGGTTTTTTGTTTGTTTTGGTTTTTTCTTTGTGTACAGTGGGGTCTGGTTGGTTTTGTTTTGTGTTTTCTGGTTTTATCTATGAAGGAGGCAGTCCTAAAAATACTGCACCTTCTATTCAGGTGGCTTTATAGTTAAAAGTTAGGAATACTGGCAGGGTGCTTGGAACAGACCCTTTCTGGAGGAGTGAGATGCTGTAGATCAGTTGGTTGGTGCCTTTGGCTCAGCTGTAATTTGCTAATAGCAGGAGTAGTTGCTTTGCCATTCCAGTACTGGGATCTGTTTCTCACTAACAATTCAGAGTTATATTGTGGAGCAGCCCAGGTGTTGGGAAGTGGATCTAGGATATGGAGAAGTTTGAGGTTACTTTACATTTGACAGGGAAAATGTATTTCTAAATAGATGACATGTGAAAGATGGCTTTACAAACACAGTTGCTGTTATTTTTAAACAAGTACTATAATTGCATCTACAAAATTAATGAGATACTGGGATTTTTTACTGGAGTCAGTACGCTGGCACTGGATTTGCTCGGCATTCGCTGCATATGGCGGTTCATAGTACAGATCCCACGCTGGGGTTTTGCCGTGGCAGGCTCGGAGGTGCGCGCTGTGCTCCGGCGCTCCCGCAGCGCTGCCGGGGTTCCGCATGCCCGGCCCCGCTCCGCGCCCCTCCGCGCCGGCCGTCCCCTCTCAGCACTGCAGGGCCTTCCTCTTGGTGTTCACCGAGTTTCTGGGAATTTGCATGTGGTCCTCTGCTCTGTACCGAGTCCGGACATCTCTTGAAACCCAGTTGTCTCTTTACCTGGCATGAATTAGCTTATGGGACAAGAGGAGGTCAACTGTTTGCTTCTGTTGTCCGAAAGGATGAGACCTGTGTTGTTAGTTTACAGCTGAATTGTTTCTGAAATAACTATTGGGGAAAAAGTTAGACTAATTAAAAGAAACATTTCCTGTTCAGAGTGTTTGTATCATAACTGGCTTGCAGGTAGTATTACAGTGTGCAGCAATTAATGTGGAAGATCCACCACTAGGGTGAAAACAAGCAACTTGCAGCTTAAGCTCATTTTGAAGCAGACAGCAGGGCCATATAACTTTAGAAAGAAGCCTCTGATCCCCTGTGATGAATAAGTAGCCATTAATGATATAAACTTAGTATTTCCCTTACTTTTATCATAGCAGCCTACTGTTTAAAGGAGGCTCCTTACTGACATTGTTATTGAGCTGTGATACTGAAGTCAGTGTGCGCATGTGCCTAGGGAGGGGCAGAGGTGAGGCAGCGGGAGCATGCAAGTCCTCAAGCAGTGACTTGAACATTTACAAACCCACCTGATGTCTCTGAGCCTCTGTGTGTTGCCTTGGTTTATGTCGGTGCTGAGGGCTGGTCGGTTGGTTGGACTTGCTGAGCAGCCTGAGTGAATGATGAGTTCTCTACAGAACCTGCCAGGTGTGCAAGAAGTGCCATTTCAGCGCTTCCCATGGTCATGGTGCTCGCAAGGTCCCTGCAGTGCAGAAAGCAAAGGCAATGTGAGTTTGGTGATGTCACTTTGTCAGAGCTTGAAGCTGCCCTGTTGAAGCAGATTGTGCACTGAGAATGCTGCAGTTCATGTTTCTGAATCAAAGCATACTAATGAGTCTGTGTTGGAAAAGCACAGCTCCACTGACTTGAACTACCTCGAGCGTGTCGGGTTTCAGCTGTATCCCGAATTGGCTGGCATTGCCAGAGGTGTTGAGATCACTCCACTGCCTGAGCCCAACTGCAGTCATGGGCCTGTGGCAGCTCTTCCATGGTCATGGTGCCACTGTGATCAGATTGGAGGACTGTTTAAACATTTGCCATGCCCTAAACATTGTTGAGATGGATATTAACACTAAGTAAACTACATTAACACATGATTGAAAAGAAAACAAGTCTCTTAGTCAAAGGTTCTTCGAAAATCCCTCGGGTGGTGGTACTGGAGTGGGAAAAGTCATTTGTGTGCTGCAGTTGTGTAGCAGTGTAGCTGCAAGGGCCCCATGCTGGGGTAGAGCCAGAGTCTTTAAAGATGCTGTTTGGATAAATCTAGGAAAGCTGCCTGAGGAATGCTTGTTTTGAGGAAACAAATAATGTCTCTTTCTTGTAGATGGATTGAATCTTCTGTGTTGAATGCCTCTGGATTTCCTATTCGATTTCACATCTGGGGAAATACTTGTGATTTAAGCCACTGTGGCAGACTGAATTGTGGATCCTGGGTTCCCAAGACTTCAGCTCTTGAGGAGAAGCCACTGCTCGATCACGTTAACCTGACATCTTAGCCACGATGGTGCTGTCACAAAGGCAACGAGATGAACTGTAAGGGATCATTGTTTTTGTGTTGCATTTTCGTTAAACTTCAATTATTAGCATTTGTTCCAGAATAGATTTTAGAGTGTCTGTGTTCACATGCCCTTTAAGTACTGTGTATTGTGGTTTGGCTCTCTCTTTATTTTTGATAGAACTGCTGATATTTGAAACTAGATTGGGAAATGATGAAAATATAATTTCAAAGTTACTGATGACATAAAAAATGGGTTCTTCAATTTGCAGTAAGCACATTGCAATATAAGCTGCAATCTATGAATTCTGCAGTTATCTTGAGTAAATTCTGGAAATTTTTTGCTGTTTTACTTTGTAACGTAGACAAGGATCTAATCAGAATGCACTATGTTGTGATGACATTATTTCTCCGAGTCCTTAAATTGTATTTAAAATGTTTTGTAGAAATCGAGCGATAGCAGATTACCTCCGTTCCAATGGCTACGAAGAGGCATATTCAGTTTTTAAAAAGGAAGCTGAATTAGATGTGGTGAGTTCAAACAAGATTCTTCACCTGTATTTTAGTTCAGAAGTCAGTTTTACAGCATTTGCATCTGTTCTGGACCTGTGTGTCTGTTACGTACCTGTTAGCTCAGTTTAAGAAGAGGAGGTGATGAGCTCGCACAGCTTATTGCCTTACCAGGAAAGGGAAAAATAATCATTGGGTGAGTTGACCATTTCTGAGCAAATGGTACTATAACCAGATTTGAAATGGTCTGAGACTGTGTAACTTTGGAGACTCAGTTCACTGGGAATCTTTGAGAAACAGGAAGACAAAACTGGACTACTTTTGTCCTCTGCTTTGTCATACAGAGCCAATGTTGGAAAATTCTTTTGAGATTTAAGTTGGGTCAGGAGTTAAGTCATTGCCTGAATCTGTTGCATACCTCTTGGGGTAACCCATGTAGTAGGAGGGCGGGCTGAAACACTAATAGAGATTCATCATCCAATAAGGCCAGGTTGGACAGGGCTTGGAGCATGTGTTCCTCCCCAGAAGGGGTGATGGAACAAAATGAGATTCTAGGTCCTTTCCAGTCCATACCAGTGATTGTATGACCAGCTCTGGTAAGCAGCTCTGTTTGCTTAGACTGTACAATGCCAGTGACTCAGACCAGTCATTTCTTGTAACTTCATTCTTTTGATTTACTTTAATTTGGTATAATTTTTAACTTGGCCACCTATTAGCACAGGAGGTGTGCATTTCATATGGCTACAGCTGGATTGAGTAGTAAACTTCTGTGTGCTGGATAGATCCTCAGGATAAATCCTTGCCTTTTCTTTATTACATATCTTGCATTGTTCTTTTTCCAAAATGCTTGAAGTCTGACTTAATTTCTCCATTTTGCTACTAGTATTGAATAAATAAGTAGAAATGACAAATTGAAATGCCATACTTAGAATTGAAAATCCTAATATTATTTCCCTATCTGCCTTATCTATCAACCTAATTTAGTCTCCTCTTCCCAAAGCTTAGGAAAGCAATCTAAATAGGTTAGATGGTCCTGAGGGAAAGAGAAAACGCAGTTGCTAAAAGTTTCACAACTTTTATGCAAGAAAATCTGAATTGGAGTGGGCTATAATAAAGTGGAAATAAAAGGTAAAGGCTGAAATTATTTGAGTAAATTGGAATGATTGATGTGTAGCTCTACAAAGAAAGATTTAATTTTTGTATAGATTATTCATGCAAATACCTCCGGATTTCACAAGTGCTTCCTTATAGTAGTAGATTAACATCTGTCTCTGACCAAGGTAGCAAGTCCTCAGAGCTTTTATCTGCTGTGGAGTAAGACTTGGCATGATTATTTTCTATGTCTATTCATCTCATTCAGGATTATTGTAGTATGAGACTGTAATTTTGTAATGGAAAGCAAGTGCAGCACTTGGTTCCTTCTGCATCTCTGATGTTTTTCTGTGTTGCTTTTCTTCCTCTTTCTTTAAATGCTTCTTCTCAGAATGAAGAGTTAGATAAGAAGTATGCTGGACTTCTGGAAAAAAAATGGACATCTGTTATAAGATTACAAAAGAAGGTAAGTAGAGATCTGCCGGATGTGCACATATAAAAAATTAGCCCAGAAAGCATTCAGCACTGAACACGAATGTACAGTCCTGAAGCTGGAGAGGCAAGAAGTGCCTTGAGGCAGGTGGTGAGCAGGGAGATGGAATCGCTGTGTGCAGAGGGTCAGGCTGGGCTAGGAGGGAGGAAAAATCGGTGCTGCCTGTTGTCTTTGGCCATGGCCCTAGAGGGAAGGAGCCATTAGCTCCAGTGCATTCCAGTGAGAGTACAAAACTCTTTTTAGTCATGCTTCAATGGCTCAAGAGTGTGTTAAAAGCAAAAAAAAAAAAAAAAAAAAAAAAAAAAAAAAAAAAAAAAAAAAAAAAAAAAAAAAAAAGCCCACAAAAAAAATCAAACCCTAAAATCAGTGTGTTAACAATAAAGTCCTATCCCATGTGCAGGTTAATACAGCGAGGGTTTATTAGCCCTCCAGTGTTTCTGTTGTTGGTTAAAGTGTGTGCTAGCTCCAACAGGACACAGAATTCCTGCAGCAGTAGCATTCCTTTTTGTTAGCACAACCTTCTTTGGTAGTTCGGTACAATAGTAATCCAGATGTACTCAGTGTGTGAGTAGAGGGGATGTTTTAGAACTATTTTTTGTCCTGTGAAAATATTTGGAAATTTGAAAAGAATAAATGATTAATGATTAAATTATTAAGAATTAACTATAAATTATTAAAGAATAAGCTATAAATTATTAATTTATGTTTGATTTTTAAAACCAGTGCTACTGGATGTTGGTAGTCAGTTTTGATCAATGCAATCTTTGCTTTACTGTGAGTTTTGGAGTCAGTTGTTATTTGGATTACTAGTGAAGAAGGTGAATTAGGTCTTGTATAAAACGGGAAATAAAAGATCTCTTTAAAATTCTTACACTTAGGTAATGGAATTAGAATCGAAGCTGAATGAAGCTAAGGAAGAATTTACATCAGGTGGACCTCTTGGTCAGAAACGAGACCCTAAAGAGTGGATTCCTCGTCCTCCAGAGAAGTATGCGTTGAGTGGGCACAGGAGTCCTGTCACTCGAGTCATTTTCCATCCAGTGTTCAGTGTTATGGTCTCTGCTTCAGAGGATGCCACAATAAAGGTATGTGTGCACTCCACACAACTGGCTGTGGAATGGGTGACATCAGTGCAGTGAAACTTGTTCTCCTGTTGGGCTTATAAGCTTAACATGAGCTGAAAAGCAGTTTTCAAAATGCATGCTTTCAGTTAATTTATATGTAACAAAATCACATAAAAATAAATTTATTTTTCTCTACTGTTAAGCTTTTTTAGGACTGTCTGTCTCTTGCTTGATTAATTATTGAATAAGGTGCCAGACTGGCCTGCAGAGTGCAAATGTGAGGTTGGAGAATACCAAGAGTAATGGGCTGCTGCTAACAGGTTGTCTGTTCCCTTGTCAGGTGTGGGATTATGAGACAGGAGACTTTGAGAGAACCCTGAAGGGGCACACAGACTCTGTGCAAGATATTTCCTTTGACCACACTGGCAAACTCTTGGCCTCTTGTTCTGCCGATATGACCATTAAGCTATGGGATTTCCAGGGCTTTGAGTGCATCAGAACTATGCATGGTAAGGTATAAAGGGATTGATTTAGCAGTCTGTAAAGTGAAGATATATATATATATATATATATAATTTTTTTTTTTTTTTTAATCCAGGAAAACTGCTGATGTGGAAAGGGGTTATAGACCAGAGTATTTTCTAAAAGAAAAAGAGGGGGGATATAATTTGAGTGCACTGTAAATAAGGGAGGCATGCAGTGTTTATGGAATGAAATAGCATCTTAAACTACTATGCATGATGGTGTAGGAAGCATCTCATAATGATGCTGAAATAAAATGACAGAGGGATTTTAGCTTTAAATATTAAATGCTTGCTAGACAGTAAAACTGCCTTCAAATGGGTGAAAGATTCCTTCCTTCAGCCCTCTGTGTTCCTGATGCAGGGCTACAGGAAGGGAGGAATCAGTGCCAGAGTAGTTGTGGCTGCTCCATGCAGGGTTTGGCTGCATGTGTTTGATCACACGGAAACATTCCCTTTGCACTGGGTTTGAAAGCCATAGGAAAAATGAGAAAGTACAACACCCAGAGCTATAAGATTCTAATATTGACAGTGAATGTTTTTTATAGTCTTATGTAAGAGCTTTTCTCTTGCTTTTAAGATCATCTTTTAGAAGTGGTGAGTAGAAATAGAGAATATTTGAGACTTATAAAAATAAACACCCATCCATAGGTATACGCAAGTAAACAAAAAGCGCCTTTAAGGATGCTCAATCTCTGGACTGTGTGAGTTCTAAAAATATGGATGATTATTTCATAAATTCTCAAGTTTACATGTAAAGATTATTCAATAAAGCATGCTCTGCTACTACAGCTACTTGACCAAGATAAAAAAAATGGCAAGTCCTGTGTGCTCTGTGAAAACTCTGCCAGTGCCACTTAATAATGGCTTTATTTTGTTTTTAGGTCATGATCATAATGTTTCTTCGGTAGCCATCATGCCCAACGGAGATCATATAGTTTCTGCCTCAAGGGATAAAACTATCAAAATGTGGGAAGTCCAGACAGGGTAAGTGCTCTTGTGAGCAAACAGCACCAGAACAAAAGCGAGGAGAAACCACTGTGTGTAGAAATGGGACACGGGAATCTGAATGTCAGAAGGCACTCTTTGAATTGAGAAATTATGTTCTGCCATTTTGAGTAATTCATTGAAAGATTCTGCCTCAGTCATTAGGCAGAGGGGCTTAGATTTAATACTGACTAATTAAAGCTAACTGGTTTTGTCTTTTTGGAAGCTATGAGGGTAGATCTCTAGCTCTTGAAGAATTAGGAAACAAAATTCACTGGTTAACCATGACTTTAAAGGGAGTATCTGTTACCCAAGGTGTCTCCTGACCTGTAAAGCTCTACTTGTTCTTAAAATACCTGTTTAATGCAAGTAGTCACATCAACTTAATTTTCCCCCAAGTTTCCTGCTTTTTGCCTTAACAAGATTTTGCTACTCTTAGCTGTCGCTGCTTTCTCCTGTCAACATCCTTTCCACAAACTCTGCATGGTGTGCCCCATCACCTGCCAAGATGAACATGTGTGCGCTAAAATACTTTATCTTAACCACTGAGTAGGTGAAGTGTCCTGGAATTTCTGAGGCACGCGCAGTGGGTTCCTGCGCTGGTGGCTGAGTGATGCTGTGTTTTTTGCACAGTTACTGCGTGAAGACTTTCACGGGGCACAGAGAATGGGTGCGCATGGTGCGGCCCAACCAGGACGGCACCTTGATTGCCAGCTGCTCCAACGACCAGACGGTGCGCGTGTGGGTGGTAGCGACAAAGGAATGCAAAGCTGAGCTCCGAGAGCACGAGCATGTGGTAGAGTGCATTTCCTGGGCTCCCGAGAGCTCCTACTCCACCATATCAGAAGCTACAGGATCAGAGGTAACATTCCTGGGCTGTTACACAGGCATGCACGGGGAGATTTTTGTCTGTGCTCTGGGTAGCACTGATAGCCACTGAGCTTTGGGCTCAAAGGCCTGGCAGGTACAGCAGGTGTGTGAGTACTTTTGTCCGAGTATCTCGGTGTGCAGTTAAGCCCTGTCTTGGCTTCCCAGGATCCAGCTTTTGTGTTTAGGACCTATCCTTGCACTAGTGAAAGTGAACTTTGGGGAGATGCTCTGTTCAGGGAGGGGTGAGAGTGGGACCACTGTCTTGTATTGCAGCAAAGAAATGTGTAAAGCAGTTTCTCTGGCAGAATGTAAAGATTATAAGGATGCTTAGCAATTGGAAGGTAGAGCGGGGAAGGAGCCAGTCAGGAATGCAGAATGAAGCTGCCTTGAATGCAGTGTGCACTGTGCTGGAGTCAAGCACCGATTGCTGTGATTTACTGTACAGCTACTGATGGCTGAAAGCATTCCTTAACTAAAATGAATCACAGTTTGTGTGATCACCGATACCTCTTCTAGTGAGTCTCAAGAAAGGCCTAAAGGCCAGAAGAAATTTTCGTTCTAAGGATGTTAAAGTGTAGAGAAAAGGAAATAGAAATAAGCTCCAGTTTCTAGTCAAGCCCCCCACCTGGCATTGCTGTTTCGCCCTCTGCCTCCAAAGGCCATTATAATCTTTTAGTTGTAAGTAATTAAGACCAAAGTCCGTGCGTCCTTCCTGTGGCCGTGTGGGCTCTGCAGGCGGGGCCTCCCCTGCCCCCTGCTGGTGGGATCGGGCACAGCCCGAGGGAACGCCCTCCCTGCACACCTGGGCCAGGTGAGAGCTCCGTGCATGGACACGCACAGAAATCACTTCACAGTAGGAAGTTTTCAGAAATTCCTAACCCTGCTTCGTTGCATTTTATGAAGAATATGAACACAAAGGTATGTGTGAACTGCATCCTCATCCCGAGATGTGGCACTTGAGATGTCTACTGTTAACAGAGGATGTCTTGCAGTAGGCAAGTGTGTATTCAAAGTGTTACTCGGCGTGTGGAATCAGCAAGATAAACAACTGTTTCTTTTAGCAGATTGTGTAATTCTCCTAGCATTAGTACCAGTGCTTGTGACCCAGCTTTGTCAATGTGGGTTTACTTGCTGTGAGCTGTTGTATGATCTGATTTTGGTACTAAACAATATCATTGGGAAGGGATCTGCTTCATTACTCCTCTTGCCACTTCCATCCTGTGTGTACCATAACTTAAAAAATAATTTTCTGTAGACTAAGAAGAGTGGCAAGCCTGGGCCTTTTCTGCTGTCTGGATCCAGAGACAAGACCATTAAGATGTGGGACATTAGCACTGGCATGTGCCTTATGACACTTGTAAGTCCATTGGTGTTTTTTCTGGCAGTCATAGCTGCATGTGTACAACCAGTTTTAATGAAATGTATTCTCTTGCATGTCATGTTTTCAAGAGAAGCCAGAGTTATAATAATGCAAATGCTGGAAATACAGTTTTAATGGCTTCTATGGTTCAGATCTTGTTGTTGCTAAGAAATACTAACAGTCTCCAAAATCATCATAGTGTGAATGCAGTACTGTGGTGTAGGTTCTGTGATGAGTAGCTTGGTTTGTTTACAGAAATGCTGGCAATTATCTGAATTGTGACTTCAGTGAAATACCATGTTGTTGCCATGTGCGGGACTTCTCGTGGGCCATAGCCTGCTGTTCCCAGCTCTGATTCTGGCTGGACTGGGTGGTGGTGCTGGGGTGGGGAGCAGAACTTGAGCAGATCACATGAGGACTGCTGTTTGTTTGCCCTCAAGTACAGGAACTTGCATTGTTGGGAGGACTGATAGAAGTGTAATAATAGAAACTGGAGATAAGCTGTGAATTCTGACAGGGCTCAGTGCTGTCCTGGCGGGGCCTTGCAGGGGTCCCTCAGTGTGCCGTAGTGAGGTGTGGGATGCTCAGCTCTCAGCCTGCTCACTGATCTCTCCTTGTGCACAAGGTGGGCCATGATAACTGGGTACGTGGCGTCCTGTTCCATTCTGGGGGAAAGTTTATTTTGAGCTGTGCTGATGACAAGACTCTCCGTGTCTGGGACTTCAAGAACAAGCGATGCATGAAAACCCTCAACGCGCACGAACACTTTGTTACCTCTTTGGGTACGTATTGATCCCAAATCCAGAGCTGCTGCTTCCCCACTGGCTGTAGCTGAGCACCAGGCTGACATTCACCTTGGGGCCCTAGTGGCACTCTCTATAGAAGAAATGAACTAGAAATTAACTCCAGTTTCTAGTCAAACCTCCCAGCTGTGTGAGTTGTAGAGTTGGAGTGTGCTGGATTTTTCCACTTCTGATGCCAGTGTTGCACATGGATAAGAATGTTAACTGACAAGGAGTTCTGGAACCTGTCACCAACACGTGCAGGCATGTGGGGAGGGCTCTAGTGTCAGTGCTTGCCCAGCAAAAGGAATAGAAGGGTGTGCACAACAGTCAGAAAAGAGTTACTTTGAATTCTGGATATTCCTGTTTTTTGTTACTGATCTTGGTAACAGCATGAGAGAGTTTGGCTACAAAAGTACTGCCAGGAGCTTTAGAATTTAGCTTTTGAGCTGTCAGAATTGTTTTGAAAAAGTAGTGCCATTCAGCGAGAGGAGGAAGTGCTGAAGTTTGGGTTCACTGGTAACGTGAGCTTTTGTCTCCTGGCAGATTTCCACAAGACAGCCCCGTACGTGGTGACTGGGAGTGTAGATCAAACAGTAAAAGTGTGGGAGTGCCGCTGATGGAGTTCACAGTGACCCCCTTTCCTCTGGATGCACTCAGATACCATGGTTACCCATTGAGCTCTGTTTAAATAAATATTGTCCTTTCATGTAAATTATTCTGGATGTAGATTGAGCTTATTAAATGTTACACACAAAGTATTCATGCATGGTGAATCCAAATTGTATACTGTAAATTTACATACGTTGTCTAGAAGTACCATAGGTTTAAGAACATGGGCTGGCATTGGTCACATCAGACCTGAGAAGGCAGAAGTGGGATGGTTGGAATAGGGCACTTAACTGAATAGTTGACAGTGTCGTTATGTCGGATAATTATACCTGTTTTTCTTTCTGCTGTCTGTTGGTGCCTGAATTGGTGACCTCATTTGGGAAAAGTTTTGTAGGGCTCTTTCAGAAATGTGTATCTATGTAACATCACTTAAGTGTGCTTAATAAATCTTCTCTAAGAATACTAGATAATAAGGCTGCAATTCAGAATCTTCTGAACCTTATATGTAATTAATGGAAATTAATTAAACTCTGGAATATTTGTCATGAAACATTTGCCAAATCAACAGAAAACATTTGTTTTGGCCTCCTATCATGCAAGGGTTGGTATATTTATAGAACTGACTGTAAACCTGAAATAAGACAACAAATCTTAGTCGCAGCTGATGTGATAAATGTATTTATTTTTTATTTGGTCATTCAATGGTTAAGCTGTGCTGTTAAACTAAGTTTAAATGGTTTTTGTTTGGTTTTTTTTAATGCTAGATGAACTTCCAGGAGGAGTTGTCCATCCCACTAGAGTTTAGTGATCCAGTTTCCAGTAGAGCTTCCTCTCCCAAATGACTGCCATGGTCCAACTTGCTGTTTGCTTTCCATGTTTGTTAGAGATGTGCAATTCCTATTTACACAGCAGGATCAAAGGACACTTCCCTCATTCACTGGCAGGAAATTGGAGTATACAAAAGTGTTTTGCTTTCCTTAGTGCCTCCTTGGACAATGAGGTGATCCTCACCTTGGCAATGTGGCTCCAATAAAAACATCCTGGGGTTTGCAAGTGGAGAAAAACCTTGGGCTGCAGCATTGAAATGCTTTAAAGGAAGCACTGAGTATCTTGAGAATCAGTTGACAATGGCAGGTCAGATCCATGCAGGCTTCTAAAAGAAAGATGCCATGAACAAAACCCACACCCATCTGTGGGAATGATGATAAACATTAAAACCAGACCCAAATCCTATCAGCAAAACCAGCCCAGCTCAGTTATTAGTATTTATGTTGTTTGGTGTACACAATTTTTAATTTGCATATCCCTAAAGTTACATATTTTGACCTGAAATTAATGAAAATATTATAAATTAATATTTTAATCAGCATTTTTGTGACAGATTCCATTGCAGATAACCAAGAATTACAATACTTATCAAACTAACCAGGTGTTTTTAAAAATCAACTTTAAAATTGACAATACAATGAAGTTCCAGGCTGATGTTTTAACAGGTGAATTTGTGCTTCATTTTATTCCTTTGGTCCATGGCTTTTAAAATGTCCCTTTTAAAGCTGAGAGTCCCTGACCAGCGTAGGGTGGGCTGGAGGGTGAGCACACTGCACTGGTGAGGGGGAAACTTCCACAGTCAGCCCAGAAGGACCCTTTGTTCTGTGGGAGGAACTGGATTGGGGTGTGGGATCCTCTGGGAAGCAGTGGAGAAAGCGGGGTTCTGATGGGGGGTTTTCAGAGCCAGTTTAAGATCCAGGCTAATCTCTTAAATCCAGTGGTTTCTGTCATTCTCAGTGTGTGTTGCTGCATAAGCATGCACGAATAAAGTCTGTTTTGTTTGTTAGCTTCTTGGACTGGAAAAATTTGCTGCTTTTTGTCCTATTGGAGAATTCCAGATACACAAGTAGTGCATCTTAAATCCCTCCATGCATCTGCAACTGTAAAGTAATAACATCTGTTTAATTCCTGGTAGGACCTAGAAACTTTATTTAAGCCTAAAGTAAACCACCCTCATGTACATAACTCAAAACCTGAATGAGAAATTAAAGGTACCTGTGATGTGGAAGTTGTCTACTGCATTTTTTCCCTGTAGCAAAGAAGCATTTACCAGGACACCCAGCCCCAGTGAGTGTCACTGCTGTGTGAGACTCAACACTGCTCCTGTGCAGAGTGAGCCTTCTGGGGCAGCAGGGAATGATCTCAGGGATGGTCCCGACCGGACCAAAGCTGAAGCCCTGCTTGGAAGGGAGCCACACCACAGGCATGGGAGTGAGGGGGACACTCTGGGACGTGCTGTGGAACTGTCCCCACTGTTACTTTCAGCTTGTGCTGTGCCTTTGCTGCAGTCAGACCTGCAGCAGCGAGGTTACTGGGTCAGTAATGAGCTAAGTGCTTTGGAGGGGGCGAGAGGCTCACTGGTGCTTTGGCACTTCCTGACTAAACCTGGCAGCACGTGCCAGGACCCAGCTCTGGCCTGGCACCAGAGCCACTGCAGATCCCTGGGCTCAGCCTAGCCTGCGGCACACCACACAGGCCAGAAAGTGCAACATTTTTTGAGGTTGATGTTTTATAGCATCTTGCACTTTAGAAGGTGAAACAAACCCATCCTGCTTTTGTGTGTGGTGTGACCAGTGTGCCCAGGACACTGAGGAAAGGAAAACAACCCCTGGGTTGCTAATGAGTGGGGATTATGGGCATGGGGTCCCTGCCTCTCCTCTGCCGCTTCCTGTCCATGTGAACTGCCTGAGAAATCACTCTTAAGACAGCTCCTGACTCCCCTGAGAGCTGTTTAAAAGGAAAAATACTTTGTTTTTGTAGACAGTGGTGGCTTGGTAATCCTTTAATGATTTGAATATTGCAAATGCTAAGTTGAGTGAAGGAAAAGCGCCCTTGGAGCGAGCTGTTGTGTCCAGCTGTATATAACGTCCGTGTATTAAATCAATACCGAGAGTCCTGTAGCAAGAGCACGTGCATAGAGGGGTGGGATGGACGGGGGGGGGAGTGGGGGGGGTCGCGTTGGATTTGCAAGTCACAACTGGCGTTAACTGGCCTTTTTATCTTTCCACTGTGTCATGTAAGTAGCTGCTTTCCTGTCCTGCCTGTCCCTCAGGCTTCCCCGAGTTCATTCTGAAGAGAAGTTAGCAAAATCCTCACGCTTTAGAGTCGATCCCGACATCGACGTGAAGGCAAATGTCAGATGTTTGTTTGAGCGCTGTTAGAGGTTGCAATTGGAGAGAACAGTTCCCAGGCTGTAGGAGTTAACTGAAGCTATTGACACAATTAAAGCAAAATTGGTAAAGGAATGTATATAATACTGCTCTGTGTTTTACAGTAAGATTTGTTGCTCTCAGACTGTGTAAAACAAAATTTATTCATGTTTTCTGCATATTAAAAAAATCTTATTGTACCAATTGGTAAACTATTAAATGCATATAAAACTAGATGTGGTTTTGTTTCCTTGGATGGAAGAATTAAAACTATTTTGAAAAAAGCTATTGGTGTTTCACCCTCAGATTTTGCTCCCGCCTGCTTTGCCCTTGCTCTGATTTTAATTTAACTTGTGATCACCTGAGGCTGCAGGGAAGTGGTTTTGAGCTGGTTCATGGCAGCTGGAATAGCAATAGGTTTTGTTGTTTGATCCGATGCAATGAGGTGCTGCAGGAAATGTTCTGGAGGGCTAAGCTGGACTCAAGGTGGGGAGGAGAGCCTTGTCCCTGCGCCTGGCACAAGCCAGCCCTGGATGGGCTGGGTTTGGTGGGATTTTCCTTATCTTGACCCTGTCTCTGTACTGCAGACAGGAGCTGCCATTCACTGCTCCTCACTCGGTGTTGGAGCTGAGGGCGGTGGCTGAGCGTGGTCACCTCGGAGGATCACTCGGCTTTGGGGCGGCGCAGGGAAGCTGGCTGCCTGGAAAGCTGAAGGCACGGCGTGGTTCTGGCAACATCTGTTCTGATATTAGTCTTGTGCCTATGTGTGCTTTGGTTTAATTTTTCCCTGTGATTTGGCCCTAATTGCCTCAAGTACTGTTTAGAGATGGGTCAGTGGCTGGAACTGGAATGGGCACATCTTCATAATGGAAGAGCATGGATGTGCTCATGAGCTTGATATTGGGGGAGAATGAAAAGGCACTCCCACCAGCTGAGGTCTGTGGAAGCAGCTGGTAGGGTGGTACTTTGCAGTGGGAACAGATACAGGATGGACATTTGGATGAGACCCACTTGCATTTGGGAAAAAATCTGAGTCTGGGCTCTGCCAGAGCCAATGCATGCATGGGCTGTCCTGGATGGGGTGACAGGGTGGCACAGAAGTGGTTTTTGGAGTGAGGGTTGAAAGGAAAGCTTCCTATGTCCACAAGCAGTGCGTTTCACAGGGGGCACAAGGCAGGTTCAGGTGTGAGTCAAGAACAGTATGGGCAGTTAAATTTAATTTTCCCCCTTAGCTGGGTGAGCTGTTGCTTGTGCAGCAAGTGTGCTGACAGCAGCTCTGTAGGTGTTTCCAGTCCCACTCCAGCACTGATGGGCGCTGGAATGTTGTTCAGTGAATGGGTTGAGTACCTGCCTGCCTCCAGCTGGGTCCCAGAGCCCGTTTGAATCAATTCTTGCACTCATGTTTTAAGAACTTGTGAGCAAGGTAATGAGAACCCCCAGAATCCAAAAGAGCTAGTGAGGTACAGACAGATGTTGGCAGTTATTTACCAGCCTGCATTGCCTTTGGAGCTGCTCAGCTGTGAAGCCTCAGTAGCTAGGACTTGTCTCCTTCAGCTTCATTTCACATGGGTACAACATCCGCAAAGCTGTGTCCCTGCTCCCATATCTCCCCTGGGATGAGAGGGCAAAGTGACTCCTCTCCCTGAGCACAGATGGATTCTGACAGCAGAGATTGTGGGTCCTACCCCCTCTGGGCTGGGTTTGTGACTCTGGTACTGATTTACAGCTTTTAAAGCCTCTGGATCAGCTGGTGCTGTTCTCCCCCCCTGCTCCCGCTCAGAGGAACAGGAGTGGTGTCTCCAGTGCTGGTACCAACACTTTGCACCGAACAGTAAAGAAACCAAAAAAATACCTGCAAGAGTTTAAAAAGCTTTTAATGGACTGTAAGACACTAGTAAAAGAAAAATCTTTTAGGAAAGATGCACTGTAGTCATTTATTGATTGCTTTCCAGGAAATTCAGAATTTTTCTAACAGGAGCAAGTTCATTTGCAGTGAAGACTCTGCTTTGTTGCCTCCAACACCTCAGAGGCTGCTCCCTCCTTCCCCCCCGCCCAGCCCCGAGTTACAAATACCTGTAGGGTCAGACAGGAAACCGAGGGTACAGAGCACAGGGACAGCACTTGGCTCCAAGGGTCAGTAAAAGAAGCAGCGCAGATTAGCACGGGGCACGATCCAGGACAGACAACGCGAGGGAGGGAGAGGCTGGGCGCCGGCAGTGCGGGGCTGCGGCCAGCCCACCCTTCTTCTACAGCTTGATCTGCTTGGGAAACGGGACATTCAGCTCTGTCGGCATCCCAGGGCCTGCAGCAGCCACATCTTACCTGCTTGAGGACAGTGACAGCCCCACAGGCTGTCTGTGGGAGGGGAGACGAGGATTTCTTTAGTGGCACTTGCCATTCAGTACCGTCCATTGCCAGCAATGGCAGCTCCTAGTGCCAGCGACAAAGGTCTTTGCCAGAGGTTTCAGTACTGGGGGAACTTCAGTTTTTATTTAAACCCCTTCCAGAAAGTACCAGGTTTTGGGGTTGTGATTCCGTCAGGTTCAGGGCCCTCAGCTCTGTGTCAACAGCTCCTGTTACAAATGACACCAGGCCTCTCTATTTCTGAATTTTCCTCCCCTCTCCCCTACTCTTAAATAGGTCTGTGCTTCCCTCCTCACTCCCCTTAGCTCAGCCTTCATTTGCTGCATTCCCACCTCACTGAGGCACTGGGGTTTCCACTGCAATGGAAGTTTGTGCGCTTTTTTAAAGATCAAGCCATCACTCTTTGGATACAATATCCCAAGTTATTCAACTGCAAGCAGAGGCAGAGGTGGAACAGTGAATATAATATATCTATCTATATATATATATATATCTATATATATATATCTATCTCTTTACCTTGAAAATTAGAATGTGAATGTTACAAAACCCCACTGAATTGCCAAACTGCCAACCAAACATAGAAAAAAATGTTTAAAGGGATCCCATGGCTATATCCTGATGTAGAAAATGCTGTACATCCCCCACTTCCACATATCACAGGCTTCAGTCATCTCAGTGACAAATATGGCTGTTCTCAGCCCAAGCTTGAATAGTGACTGGGGGGAAATCAATCTTTTGGCTTGGAATCCACGTTTTACAAGAACGTGGAGCAGTGATGGGGCTGGTTCTTTACTGGTTTAGCAAAGCAGTGTCCTTAGTCAACATAAAAATGACCTGAGAAATGTTACATTCCTCCAGACAGTTCATTTGGAATTCATATGTACAAAGTAGAAATAACTGCTGCGCACACACACGACACGGACACACACACGGCAGGAGGGCCCCGCGCGCCAGGACGGGTCTGTGCTGCCTCCGGCCACTTCCCCTCGCGTGGCAGACACAAGCTTGGGCAGACAGATTACATTGCTCAGATTAGTTCTTTGCATTGTGTATTAATTGTACCAGTGCAATAACATTGTCAAAAAGGAGGAGCTGCTCCGAGGGCAGCTAAGGCCCTGGGCCAGATTCAGAAAAGGGTGGTTTAAACTTTTTTTTTTTTTTTTTAAGCGAGGTACATGTTAAGCAGAGCTCTGTGTTAAGGGGATGGCAGCAGAAGGCATGCTCGGCTCAGCCTCTTTCTCCTCCACAGCTTTGTCCTCTGCTTCCAGCTGTTCCCCACTTTTCAGGCTTTCCTGGAGCTGCTGGCGTCGCTGCACCTCAGCTTTAAGGTTCTCCAGGTCTTTTTGGCTGAAGGGGAAAGCAGGAAGGGGAGCAGACATTAGACTGGCTGTGGGAATGGTGAAGCACCAGGACCAGGTCATGTTCAATGGGGGAACACTGCTTGCACCTCCCTCCCCCACAGCTCAGCCATGCCTGAGCACAGCCAGGACCCAGGCTGGGTTTGAAGAGGCACTGGAGTCTGCTCCCTCAGTGGGGCTGGGCAGAGCAAGGAGTTCATCTCTCTGATGGCCAGGCAGCCTCCAGCTGCTGATGCTGCATTTTTACCACCAATGATTATTTGCAGCCTTAGAACAACAGTCTTGGCTCGATTTTCAACTAGAAGTATGAAAGACAGCTATTAATAAGTAAAAAAAAAAATCTAATAGTCCTGCTGCTTGCAGGTCTTGATGATGCTCATCAAGGCCTGAATTGGGATCTTGGCTAAAACAAAGAAATCTGGGGAGCTGGTTTCTGCTTTCTTGTGAACTAAGACAATACAGACTTTGTTTCTAAAGGCATAACCGAGAAGAATCACTGTACCTTAGTGGAATGAAGAGAATTCCATTGATAATGTTCAGCTGCTCCAGGACACTGGCCATACTGGGAGCTGTGAACTACATCACAAGGGAAAAGAAGTTTTAGCAACCTAGAGAGGACTCTGAAGTGCTAAGCACATCCCTTTGCCAATGGTTGAGAAAATGGCATCATTTACATTATCTACCTCTGTATATCCTAAGCTGGAAAGTACCATCTAGAGCTTCCCACCAGTTCCTGCAGGGAGCTCCTGCTGAACCCTACAGGACTTCAGTTAAATACATCATGGTGCCAGTTCCAAAATGTGTTGGGTTTTCCACCCTCCTTTAAGTATTTTAACAAGGGTAAACCCTTTAGTGCTGTTTTTATGGGTTTGAGCCTCTTCACTGGCCACAATTCCCTGGACATTTATTTGATTCAAGGTCCTTGTTCTCCCTTCATTGCCATGAACTCCTCAGGTCTGTTGCCAGTTCTCCACAGGGAGAACACCCACGCACAGAGCACTGTCCCACTCTGTCCTCCCAGCAGCTGGAACCTTCTTTCCCAATCTGCTGGCAGGGAGAGTGCCCATGGCTCAGGCCGGGTACTCTGCCAGGTGTGGAGGCAGGCAGGAGCAGCTGGGTTTGGCCCAGGAGGGCCAGTCATTGCTGCTCCATGTAAGGTAAGACAGCCCCTCTGCGCTCCCTGCCCAGCCTCCCCAACCACAACATCCCTGGAAGGAGAACAAAGCATCTGGTGAAAGATGACAGCATTTCTGAGGATGAGGAAACTGAAGTATTTCTGGGTTGAGCAACCTGCTGCCTGGCAGTGAGTCAGCAGCAGGGCAGGGTTGTGTGCAGGTGTGCCAGGCTCTCACCCCAGGAGCTGTCCCTGTACCCCACTGGCTCCCCAGGCACCCTGCAGTGCCGTGCCCCATCCACACGGATGAGAGCACACTGTGTCTGAGCCACTGCCCTAGCAAGGGCTTCTGCCTGGGAAGGGACAACCACTACCCCCTCCTGACAGTCTGTGTCCCTCAGGAGCAGCTGGGCACAGCTTGCTGCTGGCACAGCACGCTCCCCAGTG